AGGAAAGTCTTGGTAATCTACAACCTTATTTATTTATTTATTTATTATTTATTTATTTATTTATTGTATTTTTGTGATATGACCCTGGAAGGACTTTGGGGTTTCATTTGCTTTACTCATGGCCTATCATTTAGAAAATGCTTCTTCAAATGTACTTCTGTTTCCATAAACCATGTACAATCTCTTTTTTCAATATATAACATATGTACAATATTGTGTACATATGTGTATATATATGCACATATATATACAAATGCATATGCCCAAAGATAAGAACAGAAAGAGTTCATGTGTTCTCAAATAAATTTCCTTCTAAAATTTGCCTCTAATATAAAATTACCATGCAGACACTAGCTAGCAAACAAACTCAATCCTGCATCACTAAAAAGCTGGTACTCGATATTAACATGGGCCCATCATCACCACCAAAGCTGTTTATACTAGTTTGGGACTTTCCAGAACCACAAAAAAAATAAAATAAAGGGATGTTAGCTTCCTTGTGAAATTACTTATGTCAATTAGAATTTGTAAGAATGCAAGATTCTAAAATGTTTCTACCATATATGCTTAAAAGTTTTTTTCTTTTCTAGGAACTGATAAGATTATTTCTGCAGAGTAAGGACATGAAATGAGAAAAATCACAAGAACAGGATGGAGAAGCACAAATGGCCACATGAGCAGAGTCAAATAAGCAACTTTTAAAATCATCATACTACTTTCTCCCTCATAATTCTTGTCTTTAAAAAAACCATATAAATACACTGTGCACCCAAGAAGTTGATTCTAACTCCATCTTTATGTGACAGCCTTCCCTGGAACACGACCTCATCATTTCTCCAAGTATCAGGCTATCTGAACTGACCCCAACAGTAACACCTCAATCCTAGGTCTCATCACCAATTTAGCACCACAGTACCACAGTTCTATGAGGGGCCATGCGGAGGGTCACATTTAGTGTCCCCACTTAACAGAGAAGCAAGGCAGTCTATCTGCAATGGGTAGAGGGAGAAGAATCAGGACAAGAACTCAAGGGTCCAGTTCCTCCATAAAATTTTCATGTTAATTCTATTACGCTTAAAAAGTATTTAACTGAACTGAGCTCTTTCCCAAGAAAAGTTGTTTGTCGTCAAAATGAACAGAGGTAAGCACTAGTGTTTGTCCAGGGATTTTTTTTTAAACATGCCTAATATAAATAGGCCTTTGCTTAGCCACATGGGCTCAAATATCACATCTGGCCACCTGAAATACATCAACTTTTAGGAGTACATAGGAAATAGTCTAATGCTACTGTCCAATATTTACATACTTTAAAATAATAAAACATGTGATACTGTGGCTTTACAGAAAAAAAAAATTAAATCATGCTATTTTGGGTCTGGGGACAGAGCTCAGTTGGTAAAGCGTTTGCTGAGCATGCACAGAGCCCTGGACATGATCACAGGCACTGCAGAAACCAGATGTGCTGACCCACCACTACAATCCCAGCACTGGGGAAGTGGAAGCAGGAGAATCAGTGCAAGGTTATTCTTGACTACAGAGTGAGTTCAAGGCCAGCCTGAGATACATGCAGCCTGTCTCAAAACAAATGAGATAAAATGAAATCATACTATATTTACTTTCCATAGTTTTTTAAAATAAATTACTAAAGAAATTGCTTATGATATCATTACTAGAAAATCTCCCTGAAATGTTAAGTACCTGTCCATCTAAACACCATTTACATAGCTAAACTTTCATCCACCCTATTGGGATATATTCACTATTTCCACAGCATAAGCACTTACTGGATTGTTTCTGTTTCCTGGGAGCCTAGAAACTGGCCCCTCCTTCCTCCTCATAGAGGGGGAGCCCAGGTCACCTGTCCACCCACTGGGCTACCTGCCTGCAGATTTGCTATTAGCTCATCATTCCTGAGAGCCTACTTTGGTGACTACAGCATTACTTTAAAAAGTGATCACTAAAGGCTTACTTTCAGCAATACATCTAGGAAGTCTTGATACACTCGTACTAAATATTTTGGTTCCCCTTAAATCTATTTCAAATCAGACTGACCATGACAGAATTTCCAGGCTGGAGAGGCAGCTCAGTGAAGAGCATTTGCCTAGCAGGTAAAAGGTCTTGGGTTTTATTTCCCACACAATAAGTACACACACACACACACACACACACACACACACACACACACACACATATATCTATGTGAACCAAAGTCATTTTTCAAAACTTAGGAACTGAGAGCACCCCATAATATGATCTTTATAGTGATTCTTATTTCAGGGTGAAAGTTTAGCAGTTGAAGTTTATTCTATACACAGACATTTACAGTATCTTCATTCAGGTAAAAGACCAACTTACCCAGTTTAGAAAGTCAGAAGCAAAGGCCAACAGACCCTCTTAATGGCCGCCAACCAACCAAAAGCACTAACAGTCTTTTTTCTGTTGTAAAGAATGACCCACATGACAAACGTACCCAGATCCACGAGGATGGCATGCTGCTGAGCAGTCAGCTGCTTCAGGAGCTCTCTATAGGAGGTGTCTGGAGGCTGGTGTTTATTCGGCAATCTATGTCTCAAGCGGTATTGTAAAGCTAGAAACTGCCAAATTTCCCCTCGCCGACTTTTGGGAACACCTACAATCCAAGGGATGAGAAAAGAATCAAGCCTTGAGTTCTGGAATAAAGCTGGAGGCCACCCTCCACACATACTCTCCAGTGCACTGACAGGAGCATACTTTGACCAATTTAATATTAGTTCATGACAACTTGTGGATGAAAGCCTGCAAATAATCATAATGATGCAACATTATCAATAACCTCAGCCAACCCTGACCAAATGCTCAGTGAGAGAACGGCATGCACATTCATTACTGATACTTAGCCATCAAGGAATTGCATGAAAACACAGATAACAGCCCTACTCTATAGGCAATCAAATGGTATTTCCACTTTACAGACAGGAAAGTTGAGGCTGAACATGATTAAGTAATTTTCCCAAGTTCACATAGCTGATAAGTGGCCGGAGAACTCGGAAAGTCTGGTTCAGGAGCAAAATCTTGAAATTCCCAAATGTAGTGCCACCATTTTTAGTTCTTATTTAGGTTGAGGATGCAACTGACTGCTCATCTCTACATCACCACTTCTAAATGCCTGCCTTCCACAAGTGGAATAAACAGAGAACTGAACATTCAGCTTTCCTATAAGTTCATGTAAGAATGACCATGCTCTCCAAAGGAAAGTAAGATTCTCCAGCTCGAACGGACAGGAATCACAGCACGATGTATGAAGGCCCTGAGAGTAGCAGAGTGTGGACAATAGGGGTACAGGAGACACAGGAGACCCTTCAAGACAGCCACATAGGCACAGACATCTGAAAAGACTAATCATTCAGGAAGTAACAGTGAAATTGACAAATGGGATTAATGGCCATTAAAAAGTTTCTGCACAGGGGCTGGAGAGATAGCTCATTGGTTAAGAACACCAACTGCTCTTGCAGAGGATCCCAGTTGGATTCCCAGCATCCACATGGCAGCTAATAACACCTGTAACTCCAGTTCCAGGGAATCTGATGCCTTCTTCTGACCTTCTCAGGCATTGCACGACACAGGTACACTTACACTCATGCAGGCAATACACTCATGCACATAAAACAAATTTTTTTAATTTAAAAGCAAAAGCAGACAGTGTAATGAGACAGTCTATAGGATGGGAAAAATCTTTATCAGACATACACCTGACAGTGCATTAATAACTAGAATATATAAAGAAATAAAAAATTAATAAAAAAAAGTCCTAATCAATATATGGGCAAATTCAATGAACAGATAGTTCTCAAAAGATGTATTACAGATAATCAATAGACATATGAAAAATGTTTATCATTCTTGGCATCAAGGAAATGTGAATTAAAACTACACTGAAGTCCCACATCGCCCCAGTAAGAAAGGCTATCCCCTAGAAAACAAAGAACAATGACTGCTGGAGAGGACTGTTGGGTGGAGGAAGAATGCTTACACAGAGCTGGGAATGGACGTTAGGCCACCCACTATGGAAGTCATTACAGAGATGCCTCAAGAAACTACAAGCGGACCCACCATATGACCTACCTATGCCACTGCCGGGAATACACCCAAGAAATCTAGGCCAGCAGACCACGGACACAGTCAAGCTATGGAACCAGTTTACATGCCCATCAACAGATGAGTGAGCAAAGAAAACATGATACACATATATGTATATATTTAGTCACATATATATGTGTGAATACACACACACACACACGAGTGTTATTCAGTCAGAAAGCAGAATAACATTATGACATTTTCAGGACATTGGGAGGCTTGAAGATCATCCTATTAAGTGAAGTAAGCCAGACTCTGAAACACAAGACACTGTATGTTTTCTCTCAAAAGCAGAAGAGAAAGTATGTGGGAAGAGGAAGGGAAATAGCAGGAGAGGGGAGGCCAGGAAAGGGCAGTGGGAGGTGAATATGGTCAAAGTCTATAATAGGGTTGGCTGAAAATGTCATTATGAAACCCATTACCTTATGAGACACACTAACAATTTTTTTTTTGAAAAACAGTGAGAACAGCAAAGGATGGAAGTAAATGGAGATGGAAATGGGGAGAGACAGGTGAAGAAGAAAAAATGAACGCAGGGCCAGACACTGCACACTAGAACAAACCTGACCACACTAGCACCCGGTGCAGCGCAGCCTCTCCATAGTAACAGCAGCGGCTGAGCATGAGATCAGAGACACAGAGGACAAGGGCATGTGGAGGGCTTGAGCACAGTATGAAGAAGTTTGAATAACATCCATTAGAGATCAGAAGATGAGTACCCCTAAATGTCTCTCAAAGTCCTGTCAAAGAAGGGTAACGTCCACAGTTCACACACATTCCACTGACTACTGTTCTTTCTCCTAAATAATGCACCAACGGAAATCTTTAGGGCTTACAAATAGTCTAGGGAAAAGAACAATATATTCAACTTATAAATGTGGCATCTTATAAAATACATTGTACCTTAATCTAAATCTAAATTTTAACATAGGTTTTTAAAATGAGATTATTATATTTTGGGGGGTATTTTGGAATTTTACTTTATAGACAGATTATATAGGCCATAAGATTCTCAAATACATAAAATCGAGGTCATAGAAATTTCATCTAAAATATTCGTGTTTTAGTTTTAAATTTAAAATGTTTAAGTATCAGGTAATCATAAAACAATAAATATCATAACTAAATAAAAGCAACATCTCCAAAATAAGTGAAAGAACGGGTGGAGGGAAATGTAACTGACAATCAGGTTACAATTCTATATATATGAATACATATATTGTGAGTGTATTACACATTTATATGAAGATCCACACATATGTAAAAAATGCTTCTGATTAAATGATGGCAAAGGGTCAAGTTTGAGACTCTGCTCTATTTTATGGCAGCAACTGAAGATTTACACGAAGGCATGCACCTCTTCCTTAGTAAGCAACAATGCTGAGAAAACAGGTGGTTGACACAGGCAGGAGAGATGGTATAAGAAGGCCTGTGACCTTCACAGGGACTGCACCACTGCTATAAGCAGAAACAAATTACTTTCCTTTCTTTATAAGCAAATCAAAAAGTAAAATTTTTTCTCAGCTTCATAAATCAAAAATATATATGCATCTTTCCTTAGACAAAAAGATTATAGAAATCATGAATACCTTCTTTAAGAGAAGTATGGATATCTTCCATGTCACATCTGATTTTAGTTCTGCAATTCAACAACTTTTTATCCCACGATATTAAGACCTCTTTCTGACACACACCAACTTCTTCATAGTCTAACTTAACTTTTCTGGACTGGAGCTCATCTCTTCTTGCTAAAAAATAAAATCAAAGAAAGAAAAAAGAATATATTAAAACTAACTTGTTAAAATACAGCATCTTAAATATTGTATGCATTGTTAAAACTACATTCAATCACTATATGGAATAAATACTAATATTTGATCAAAAAAAAGCTTTAAAATTTTGAGGAAAATATGGAAGGGTCTTAAATTCTGAGGCATTTCCTATGAGGATATATAAGTAAAAACTGTGTAAGGAGTTTTAACTATCTTATAAGTAGTAATTTTGCTAAGCATAAAAAAATAAAATGACTCAGTGGATAAAGAACAATGCTTGGTATCAAGCCTGATGGCCTGAGCTGATGGAGGGAGAGAACCAACTTCTGCAGGTTGTCCTCTGACTTCCACATGCATGCCGTGTCATGAACCCTGACACACACATACACAAAAAACAATTAAATACAAAAAACCATGTTGTCTACACTATGCATTTCAACTTTTGAACAAATACAACAGCCTTAGAATTGACCCTCCTATCATCCTAAACATCATTATAGTATTACTAGTTATATAGAATATATATAAAGAGACGATACCTCAGGCTAACCTCGACCTGAAAACTATTTGGGCAGGAAAGCCTCACATAGCCAGCCTCTATTTTTTGTTTTGTTTTGTTTTCTTTCTGTTGAGTCAGGGTCTCCCCATAGCCCCAGCTGACCTGAAACTTGCTATGTACACAAGGCTGGCCTTGATCTCACAAAGATCCATCACCTCTGCCTCCCGAGTGCTGGAATTAAAGTCATGTGCTACCACACCCAGCTTGTATTCTTAATAAGCTTAAAAAGAAAAGCTCATTTCATTAAAGTCAACACTCCCTCTGTTTTTTAAATAATACAGAATTCTCTCTCATTTGGTGGTCTAATACACAGGCCTAGACCCATTTAAAGAAATGCCTACAACCACTGTCTTCACTTGTTTTTATCTTGAATAACTGATTCAAAAAGGAGGAATGTGGTACAGACACAGGAATATGCGTCCCCTCCTTCATCATGGTATCCATTCATGAGAATCTGCGTGATCTCCCTCCCTCACACTCCAGGTGCTCCACTAACCAGCTTACCTTCTGTAACACAAATCTTTGTTATGTATCCAAAGTCCTCCCTCGACAGCACAAAAGCAATAGCAGAATGAATGTTACTCTTTACTTGGTGTGTTTGAAACCATTTCTAGAGAAGCAGAATATCTTAAAACAGACTGCTCTACAAACAAAGTAGGAGAGATTCCCACTTCATAGTCTGGGCATACTTAAAAGATCAATCTCACCACAAAATACTTCTCCCGGATTCCACTAGATGGCTTTCTAATGCAGTTTAGCTTTCCTTCTCCTATTTGCTGGTGTCAGGAGAACCAAATCCTTTCAAAGAGTAGGTTTGTGAAGGTTAATAATAAACAACAGTTTTAAATACAGCACTGCTGATGGTGTGTTTCACAGGGAACTAAACACAATATTTCCTTAGATTTTTTTTCTACAACCTTCTTTCTCTACATCATTATGCATTCAAAATCATCTTAAGCATCTGCTCTATGCTAGCCCACAGCTCTGAGTAGGAGCTGGTAAGAATGTGAGAACAGGGAATATCTGTCTTCCCCCAACTGGTTAATTGTAAAGAGACTTTGATTTCCATGTGACCAAAATTTTACCTTTTTTGGTTAAGTTCAGAAGTAAACGTGGAGTCAATAAAGGCTTTTGAAAATATATTCTAAACATCATCTCTTTTCTTACCCTGTAAAAGTATACAGTGCAACTGACCTCAGAATAGACATCTAATCAGTCATATTAAAATATTCCATCTTTTCACACTAACATGCATAGTTGAGAAATACTGTAGCTTACTCAGAAAAGCCAATAATCATAATAAGGACGCCTGATTTCTAGGATATGCTCCACTGGTGTGTGACTGATTGAACTTGGGGTTAATTCCACAGCATCCCCAACCAGTCACTAGTGGCTGCAAATGAAGATCCAGCTAAACAGTCTACATGCCAATGTCTGCTCAAATAGTCTGTGATTCTAAAACTATCTTTTGATATTAAATGCAAGATTTTATTTGTACATACGCTCAAATGACATACAATTTCATGATTTAAATGTTTAGAGGAATGTAAATCTTTTTTGTCAACCTCTTTTTCTGTTTTTGAAGTTCAAGATAAAACCAACTGCTGAAAAAACATGAATTCCAGTCCTATCAAAATCTTGGAAAGCTCAAGTAAGTGCCACACAGAATTTCTTAAAGCTACACCAATAACAACTCATTGAGTTTCTAATTTTACAAAGAAAATTTGCTTCCTATGAATACTTAGCATTTTATGCACTTTTCATTCTGATAAAAAAAATAGCAATAACAAACTAGGCCCTTACAATCAAACTACATGAAGTTAATTTTTTTTTCAAAAAAAAAAATTGAATTGAATTGTAAAGTAACAAGAATCTTGAAGGATCTGAAGGTAGATGACTCAGAAATGGAAGCATCTATATTTTTAAAGACTTTGGGAAGATAGCACAATAAAGGCAAATGAGAGAAAAAATACTAATTATGCATGACAAAGGGCCCATTTAAGCTAATTACCCATTTAACAGGTGGAAAAATAAGCCCTTTCAGATGAAGCACTTCCCAAGTTAATGGTATTTGTACTTTTTTTGTTGGATTTTGGTATTGTCTGAGATCTCTTTGTATATGGCTCTATCAATATGGAGACAAATTACATCATCCTTATGAGAGACTGAGAAACACACATTAAAGCATTTAGTATTCATAATTTAGCAATCATACCCCAAAAGCACAATTGCTACTACAAGCTCTTAGACTTGAAGTTGAGGGCGTTGAATGTGATTTGAAGTGGAAAATTTATAAAGCATTAATAAAACCAAGGAACTCTGATTTGATTATATTAATTGGTAACAACTAATTTGATAGCAGTTAAAGAAACATATTTTTTGAAATAGGCATGTTGTTCCCAAGATAAATGTCATAAACCAGTAAGTTGACAGATTACATTTTTTTTAAAAAAACAAACTTTGCTTTTTCATAATTAAAAGTTTTTCTTAAGTGATGCACAATGATATTAAAATTCAGGGCTAATAAATTCACTAATTTCACATTATCTCCTCTCTTCATTCCTCAGATGGACTACTGACATTTCAACCCTATTAAAGAGGCAAATATCATAAGTCCATCTTTCTCAAGTCATAATCAATTCACAAACCAGAAATAATGATAACCACTGGATCCTGTGAGCAAAGCATGCATCTGTCCCAAGAGTGAAGGTGTGTAAGGGGCCTTTGGCCTGTTTGAATAGCTAACCTTCCAGTTTCTGGTTTTCCTTCTCCATCCGAAGCAACAGGATTTGCTGGTGTATAGCTTTTTTCCACAAACTCTTTAGTTCTTTTGATTTCTTTTTTTCTTCAACCTTTTCTGAGTCCTCATCACCAGACAAGAATAGAACCAGCGGCTCCTCCTCCATGGTGGGAGTGAGAGGGGACAGTGGGAGCAGTTCATTCCTGTCCAGTCCATCTGCAGAGAAGAAGACAGTAAGAGGCATTCCTCAGTGGCCACCCAGACTGGAGGCCTTTCTTCCAGAACACACACGGCTCATTCTCAGCTTCCACACTTAAAGGTGTTCACAAAGCCACTGTCCCCACAGCTCTTGGTTTCTGGAACTAGCATTTTAAGTAAATTCAGACTGAATTCCCCTTCCAGATTTCCCTCTTTTAGTGAAACAAAAAATATGTCAGGTCACCACTTCTTCTTTCCACACACACAGACACAAAACATATGACAAAGTAGCTACCAAACAAACTGGCCTTTCCCCAGAGGCCTAAACTTCTGCAATTCATTTACATATACTCTTGTCCTGTGCAACACAGGGTTGTGTGGGTAGATGTGGGTGATGCCCTGAGGCCCATAACTACCAGCTGAGTCCCACCGGACATGGCCACTGAGCAGTGCTGGGCCCTACCGGACTGAGACCTGCACCCAAGCCATTCCCTCCCCGCCTCTCCCCAGCAGGCAGAGTCTCCTTAACTGTCCTCCAGAGCTTTCTTTCCCTCCACTCCAGCCTTTCTCTATATATGCCAATTATTTTCCTATTAGAAAACATGATCGTATCTCTTAAAGCATTTCAATAAAGGCTGACATCCCCAAGAACAAGGTGCAGACCTCTGCGAATAGCATGTTAAATCTTGTCAGGCTCACCTCAAGTTGCCTTTCCAGGCTCAGGTCTCAGTCTCCCTCCCTGGGCGCCCTTCTTGCCCAGTTCTCACACTTCTCTGACCTGTATAGTTCTATCACATGACTCTATGACTCCACTGAGACGTGTTTCTCCCAAAGTTGAGCATAACATTTAATTTTTTCAGAGTTAATTCTATCTTTAGTAATGCTCCATTGGTGGCCTCTGGGTAATTCACCAATCTCTGCTCTTTTCTTCTCATTCCTCCTGTGCTTGTCTGTATGTTTATGACTCTGCTTCTAGCTTCTTGAGTTGAAAGGTCAGTGCACTTAATTTCACATTTTCTAGGTTTTAGATGAATGCATTCAAGACTACAAATTGCCCTCTATTTGCTGTGTGATTGTGACATGTGTACACGGATCATCTGATTCCGTCTAGTTTCTACAATTTTCAAAAACACAAAATCTTTCAGTTGTCTTCTTCTGCAGTGCTGGAGATGGAACTTGGATCTCACACATCCTAGGCGAGTGCTGTACCACTGACCTACACCTCCAGTCCCAGTTGCCCATTTTTCTGCCTCCCTCCATCCCTCATCAACCTCTTTTCTTTTCGTCCTTTTTTTTTCTCACACTCATTAATTTTTCTGTCACACTGTAATCAGAAAATATAGAGTGCATGATCATAAACGTGTAGAATTTATACCTTTTGGCAGAGTATATAATTAAGTTTCATAATTTTTTTCTGTGTGATAAAAATAAATTTTCTCTACAGAGGCAAAGTCCTGTATTAATATCAGATGAAGTTTATTCAGTGATACTATTTAAATATTATCCCCTGGGCTGGAGAGATGGCTCAGTGGTTAAGAACACTGGCTGCTACTGCAAAGGACCCAGGTTCAGTTCCCAGCACCCACATGGCAGCTAACAAACACTCTACCCTCAGTTCCAAGGGATCCAACAACCTCTTCTGACCTCTGTGGGCATCACAGAGCATGGATGCACTTACATACATGCAGGCAATACACTCATACATATAAAATAAATAAAAAATACATAAAAATTTTAAAATAAATAAATATTACTCATGCTTAACTTTCCTATACTTGATTTTCAGAGGGGATGTGTTAAAATCTTGTGAGCACCATGGATTTACTTATTGTTACTCAAAATTCTCTTAGTATTATTTTCTGGCTCTCGCCTCTTTCAAATAGAGCATGCTCTCTAAACAGCTACTTGTTTATTTACTGCTACATTTGTGTTGCACTTTTAGATGGATGGATGGATGGATGGACGGACAGACGGACGGACGGATGGATGGACTGACTGACCGACTGATTGACTGACTGATTGATTGATTGATTTAGAAACAGGGCCTCCCTATAGCCTCAGCTGGCTGGAACTCTCTATGTAGACCAGGCTGGGCTTAATCTCACAGAGATCCTCCTGCCTTTGCCTCCCAAGTACCGGGATTAAAGGGACAAACTACCATGTCCAGCTTTTGCTCTGATTTCTGATAAGTCTAATATTCAAAAAAAATTGCATGCTCTCCTTTGGTTAGTATTTGAACAATGTAATCTATCCATTCCTTTATTGTTCAACTTTTCTGTCATTTTGTGTTTGACTCTTACATTAGACTACATTCTCTTTTGCTTTTCTACAAACCTACAGTTTCTTTTCCAGCATTATCATAGCTCTCTAACATTCTAGAATAACTCCCAAATCAGTTTCTGGCATCTCACTCACTCTACATTCATTCAGGCAGGTACTAAACATCCAATGTGTTGCAATGATCCCTTCAAATAAGGCACTGCAGGACATACAGGAAGAGAAGCTCTTTTCCCACTGTAATGGGGAATGTGTAACCTAAATCTCTTACGCACTAAGCATTTCCATTCTGTTCCCTGGCAGAGGACACTCAGGAAGAGTAATCACACAGACCTTTTTGCTGCATTCCTGAAGGGGACTTGTTCACAGGAGATGCAACCCGAAGGAAAATGCGCTGCCGCCAGGAGATTCGGCGAGGGGTGACAGGGGTTCCTCCGGCGTTTAGGGACTCATTACTACAGGTGGATGAGGTCCTTTTCCTCCCTTCTCCATCACTGTCGAATACCCACAAATACATAACTGGTAAGAAAGATTGCATAACAGGGCACATCACAGAGAAATGGGAGCACAAGCCATTCTCAAGTTCTGCCACAGGCAAGCACAAGGCACAGGCAACATGGAGCAAGGCGTCACCAGCACACTGGCCACCCAGTCACCACATCCTGGGAAAACTAATCCAGGCCACAACCCAGACACGGAAAGCTCATCTGTTTCTACTCATTCCTTAGAAGTTAACAAGTTCTGGTTCTAATCTGAGAACAGCAGTCCTTATGAAAAGGAGGAACAATTAAGTCATGAACTTATGTGTTGCCCAAGAAATAAAACTGATGATTTATTCTCAACAATGCAAGTATTCTGTACAATGAACAGAAAGAGCTTTGCTTATGCCTCATCTGGAATAAATGACTTAAGATAGCTTTAACCTTCTATGACTCTTAAAACCTACCTGCAAATTGATAGCTACCAAATAGCTGGGTTGTGGCAGAAAATAACCTGAATACAGGCAGAATGATCGACCCGAGAGTTACTGTTAAGTAATATGTATTTTTTGTTTGTTTTGTTTGAGACAGGGTCTCCCTGTAACCCCAGCTGGCCTAGAACTCACTATGCAGACCAGACTGGCCTCAACCTCACAGAGACCCACCTGCCTCTGCCTCCTGATTGCCGAGATTAAAGGCTTATGCCAACACACCTGGTTTGGTAATATGTATTTTCAAAAACAGTTAACCAGATTTGTTTGAAACAAGACTTAAAGATAGTTTAATATGCAGGTGTGCTATGAGATTCCATATCAGGGAAACAATGGACAGATATTATCCACCTTAGTTAAACAAACTGACCCAAGATGCCAAACATTTTCCAGGGGAGAGGGCAGGGAAGAGTGCCCCATCATTCTATATTACTGCTCAGTGAAACTTACACTTGGAAATACTGCTCTTTCCTAAGAACTCCCTTTCCAGCCTGAGTTAGGCTAGGCCTGTATGCAATAGAAGGTCAGTGTGACTCAAAATTTTGTTTTGTTGGTTTTTTTGAGACAGGCTCTCCCTATAGCCCCAGCTGACCTGGAACTATATAGACCAAACTTGAGACCAACTGTATTTGCAGTTAGACTCTGCAGTGATTATTGCTGCTGTCAGTGGTAAGAGTGTTTTATTTCTTAAAGTTTCACAGTCTTTGATCTGTCCTGGGAGAATGATGAAGATAGCAATATTTACAGGTTGTGATACCCACAGATGAAGGTACCCGGCTTCTGATGGAATCAAAAAGCTCAATCTTAGTTCAAAAACAAAACTCATCTAGAAAAGTCACAGGCTCTCAGACACTCAGAGGCACTCAATAGTGCTGATGCAATTAATGTGGGTAAAACAACTCAATACCTTTATATTTTTATTTATATTTTGAGCATCTGTACTTATTAGGAAACAGTTGTTTTTCCTCCTCCTCCTTCCTGTTTGTTTGTTTGTTTGTTTGTTTGTTTGAGAGAGGGCCTCATGCAGCCCAAGCTGGCCTCAAACTTACTTGTAGCCAAAGATGACCTTGAACTTCTGATCCTCCTGCCTCCATCTCCCAAATGCTTTGATTACAAGTGTGTACCATCATGCTCACTTTACGTGATACTGGAGATCAAACCCAGGGTTTCATGCATGCTAGGCAAGCACTCTACCAACTGAGCTACATCTCCAATCTCAAGTACAGTTATTTCTAATCTGGATTTATCTTCTTAGAAACATTACTTTTGGATTCAGTAAATCAAGGGGGGAAAAAGAACGTACCTATGAGCTGACTTGCATGTTGCAAGTGCCATGCTGTGCTGCACACATCTTGGTATAGTCACATCCCCTTTAATATGTATCCTGAATAAAGTGATAACCTCAGTAGGTGACCAGTGTTCAAAACTCCCTGCAATACTGAATAGGCTCACTTTTAGATCTGCTTGGGAAGGCAGTAATTCCCATAATCCCTTTTAACTTTTGTGATTCCAATGTTCTCTATACAGTAGGTACATCCTGATTAATAGTCTTAAAATACTCCGCATCTTCATTTTTATAATGCTGCCTCACTGGAGTTACTTGCTACATTTTCAGTTCATAGGTATATTGCTAACTTCTTGTATAAAAAGTCACAGCACTAGGGAGGCAGAGGCAGGTGGATCTCTGTGAGTTCAAGGCCAGCCTGGTCTACACAGTGAGTTCCAGGACAGCCGGGGCTACAGAGAGACCCTGTCTCAAAAAGACAAAAAAAAAAAAAAAAAGTCAATAGTAAGAATACAACAAATAACCATTGAATAAATGAATATTTTATCAATTCATGTGAAATAACAGAAGATTAAGTAAAATGGACAAAACATATTGACAGAGTTAATATGTCAGGAGTAAGTTAAAGATCTACCTTTGAAGATTTGGGATGGATGTATTATAAAATAAATGCAGAAGTCAACCTGGATCACTAAAATATATATGCAAATTTCACTGCATCTTAGTTTTCAAACCCTGTAACAGGAATAAACTGCCAGATGACAAACTTTCTTCTCTATCTGGAATTTAACAACCAATATGCTAAAAGTCAGCAGTCAAAATACAAGATAATAATAGGCCAAGAGGAAAGCCATATATAACAGACCACTGACCCCTTATAGGAAAAACCTACATTTTGCAAACTCCATTTGTTGCTGAGTCAAGATGAAAGCTGCCCTGCTTCATTTAATAAGAGAAGAAATGTTATTGGAAGTCGACTTCCAAGCAAGAGCTTAGCCAGCAGTGTGCATGAGCACCTACAGCAGCCCACTATTTGACCAGGTCAGCAGGCTGCACAGTTGGGGTTATCATTTAAAGAACCAAAACTCAAAACCATGCAAAACACTATCACTGAAATTCAAATATCTTGTCTCGGATGAAAGTTTAAATGAAGTAAAATGACGGGGGTTGGGGGGAACTTCTAATTTTTTAAGATTTCTTGTTTCTCTTTTTGTTTGTAACTACATTAGTTTTCATTTTAAGTTCTTTAAATCTAAGATTTAGGGCAAGTATAACATCTATTTTGGGGGTAAAAATAAAATCCAAACTTCATGTGTTGTCTATTACAATAGAGATAACACTAAGGATCAAAAAAGCTCACACCACAGGTCATGTGCTATTCTAAACAAATAAAAGGATGACTGGCTTCTCCCTCACAGCAGCCACAGAGGATCAGTGTTATGACAACTTCCATTGCTAGTGAGAAACCTGAGGCAGAAAGGGGCTAAGCAACCTGCTCATGTCCAGGGACAATGGGGGGAGGAGGCAAGGCTCAGACCCAGGCAGTCCACAGTCTAAGCACTCAGGCACTGCGCTTTACAGTGACAACGTTAATGACCTTTGAGTTAGTTCCTACAAAGCTCTGGAGGACCACAAACACAGCTGTCAGAGCTCCCATGATTCTTTGCTCTTCTGGTGGGGGAAAATATTAGTCTTTAATTAACACTAAATCTTTTGATAAGATATTGTCCAATTTCTTTCAGCAGAATAGTAATTTCAAAGTACCACGGGTGACTTAGTTCTGTAAAGGCCTCACTTCTATGGCTTTACTTTGAAATAAATGCAATTCAAGCTGTATATATTAATTTAAATAGGTGAAGTAAAATTTATAGAATAGACTATACCAAAGCATCTTTACATTTTTAAATAAGCAAATTATAGCCAGCACGTATTTTCAATTTAATTCTACACCTCCTCCTTCTGTGTTTTGTCATGTAAACTTGAGCATTATAAAATCGCTTCTTGGGGTACACAGTCAAGAGAAGCATTCTATGCCAGAACTTCCCCTATCCGAAGTTTGTGAAATTAGAAATGACTAGCTAGAAAGGAGGTACAATTTGGAGAATTCATGCCCTTTTGGAAGTTGGAATAGTCTTTATGTACGTCCTATTATCAGGTACCAATCAATGAAGAACAATCCATGAGCATCGTGAGGGCTTTAGAGGGGGAGAAACTGCACCACTGTAGCATGCATCATCACCTGAGTGAGAAGTTAGCTCCAAGTGCTCTTCACACAGCATCCATCAAAGCATGGATGGATTATGATAACTAAAGCTTGAAGAGAATGCTTTGAAATGTCCTTTAGCAAGTTCTCATTGCAGTCCACTATTAACCCTGGACTTCTGTGAACAATGAACTCTTAAAGCACATTTGCCTAATTTAAGTAGAACCAGTTCACTGGGTATTACATGGGATGAAGGTGTGCTGGTGACTACTTTTTCTGCTAGGGCAACACATTTTACATGTTGCACAAAGGTAAACTCTTTTGCCAGATTTATAGATGTTTTCTGCTGAGAAGCAAACTGTCTCTTGGTCTTCCCCCATCTCTCTAGCACACAATTAAAACCAATATTATAAAATCCTGATCCATGAATACATGCTGACTAAATCTTGATTTAAATCTTTATCTACATGCCTTGCATCTTGAGATAGATAACAATACTTAGTTAATCCAATATCAGCTACTTATCAAGGGCTGAAAAGGCCTTCCTTCCATCAATGTCTGAAGAAGCCTGCATGGAACAACTGACTGATGAGACTTTGGCTATTTCCTACACAACCCACAGTACTAGTTAATTCATAACTGCAGTCTGTTTAAATTCTGGCTTTCATCTGGGTACACATCCATCATTCTATGGAAAATTTAACGAATTAAACAGAACTAAGATTCCACCATTCTAGTGGAATCAATGCTGTATATGGTAGCTGTGAGTCTAGCATGGGTGATTAGTCAGTGGAACAATGCATTGGAAAATGAACGAGACTAACGAAGAGTTTTATTTCCTTAACTCTACATGCTCAATGCGCATATTGAAAAGATGTTTGTACGTCAGAGTTTAAAATATCTCTGGGTCGATCATATGTTTATTTATAGTCCTGCAATATAAGGCAGAGAAAATCATATCTGGAAAAAATATACAATCAGGGGTTCAATCTAACCCTGTGTAAAATAAACTATAGGCCAGACAATCTTCAAAGTAGTAGGCCTAATTCTGTGCCTATAGCAGGACCTAAAAAGGCAGATGGCAAAACAAAGGCTTCTATGGGATTTTTATCTTGTTGTTTTATTGCAGTGCTGAAGCTTGAACCCAGGACCTTGTACATGCTAGTCAAGTGACATATCACTGAACTATGTCCCCAATTCTCTACTAGACTTCTGAACTGAGATAAATATTCTTTAAATAGGCATACCATTACCGGGGGTGGGGGATGTTGGTCAATTATAAATCTCATAAAAGTCACTTTTTATCTCAAATAATTTATCTCAAATATGTGGGTCAAATAATACTCTAAGGATGTTTCTCTCCTTGAATAGCCCATTCTGGTGCAACCTTTAATACTTTTATTGCAACTACAAAGAAATCTAAGTGCTAGACTTTGATAAAAAGATTGACATGTGTGCTTCTCATGGACTGATGACATAAGTGAATTGTGGAAAGTGGCAGGCGGGGAGCAGATGCCTACAGGGACATCAACCCACAACCTTCTGGATGTTTCTAAAGAAAGCACTTGAAGAAGAGGTGTCACTATGATATGGGAAGACATCTATAAAAAAGATGTTTCCCTGATTCTGGCCTCTAGGATATCTGCAAGGCATCAGCAGCGTCTCACAGAGATTTATTCGAAGACAATTTTGATGACAGATTAGTGATCCTCACTGGATGAGAACCAGATAACACTGCATGGGTGTGCTTCCTTTAGGATGCTCATTTCTGCACCTCCCCAGAATCTAGAAGAAACTCCTCGAATGAACATACAGCTCTCCCAGTAGCTATTCATTACTCAACCTTCAAATTTCAGTTAGCTTTTTCTTGGAGGTCTCAGCACAGCCTTAAAGAAATTTCAACATGGAATAGAGTAGAAACAGGACTTCAGCTTGCAATCAACATTTTACACGGCTATTCATAATGTCTGATTACACTGCAGGGCACATTTCCCTTTACACAGCCCTCAGAGCACGCAGAATGACAACATGCATTCAGATGATAACCCAAACTGCTCCTTTAAACTGATATCCATTGGGAGAATCTGTAAAGTCATCAAATGAAAAGGTTTCATCATTAATCACCTTGATTCTGAAGCAGTGTCCTGTCTAGTAACAGGAAAACAAGAACGGTATTAGCACAAAGAAAGATCATGGTTCAAATCAAGATGTAGAACAAAAAGCCATTTCCATTTCCGTGTCATCAACCCATCACAGGTTAAGTTAATTCAACAATAAGCCACAGTGAAAAACTGTATTTTCAATGATTACAAGAGAAATACCGAACCAAAGTCACAGCACAGGTACTTTACCAGCAGTACCTCCTCTCTCACTGAGAGGCTTTATAAGTGAATAGAAGTAAAGAGCATCATTTTTTAAAGTGATCATTTACTTTGACCGATAAGCCTCAACAAAAATTATTTTTAAATATAAACATAAAACTTGAAAAGCAACTCTTCACAAAGATGCCTGCTACTGGAAAGGAAATATTACACTTGATGAACAGATGTCATAAAAATGCATATCATCAGACATAATTATGATTCAGCTTCTAAACAATGAAATCACGTCACATTTCATTGTTAAATTTTAAAAAAATAATTGAATTATTTAACAAAAAATGCACTTATTCACTTTCCTTTATCATTTCACATATGTACAAACGAATCTATTAGCCAACAAGCCATGCCTCCATTTTTCTAGGTACCATAACATGCTTTTAACAGTTCAGGACAGCAATCCCAGAGAATGTGTGTGTCACGGTGAATCTAAATTTTTCAAATAACATGATTTTTAAAAAGTAACAGTGTTCTTAGTTGATATTTTGCTCTATCCTGTTCCTTACCTGACTATGCATCTTTAGAGATTCATTTTATGCAACTAATAAAATATTAGGTACCAAAGTGACAGGAAAATTATAACTGTCAATATTATATACCCTCTCCTCTCATTTTTCTGGATAGTTCTGGTAGACATGATGGTTTCACTATATAGAACGATAATGAGAGAGATAAAGTTCAGAAGCCATCTGCTTAAAAACATGCTCTTTGAATATCTTTGTTTTTTTTTTTTTTTTTTTGAAAAGGCCATAAAGTGCAAAAGGCAAAGGACACAATACAGGCAATCTACTCACATGTGGCTTAGATTGAAGAAGATGCATGTATAGTTATGCATAGAAAAGCTACATAAGGGGGCTGTAGAGATGACTTAGCAGTTAAGAGCACTGGCTCCTCTTGCAGTGGATCCAGGTTAAATTCACAGCACCTACATGGTGGCTAACAACCATCCTAACTCCAGTTCCAGGGAAACTCTGGTTCCAACACCCTATTCTGACCTCCGTGGACATTGCACAACATGGATGCACTTAAATACATGCAGACAATACACTTGTACACATAAAATAAAAATAAAAATTTTTAAATGCTACATAAATGGACTGAGTGATACTGTAAACACTACAAAATGTTTTAAATTGATTAAACTAAATAAAGGATTAAAAGGAATCCTCTAATATTTTGCAATTTTTCTATAAATCTGAAATTATTTCAAAATTGAGAAAACATTCTCTACAAGATTATAACTACTAAATTTATATCTGAGATGACTTGCTAATGGAAATAAACTTAAGATCATACATTTTGTCCAATAATTTCACTACTGTATAGCTATTCATCAATATTACATATATATGTACAACTAACAATAGATACAATCACAGTATCAGTCTTTATGAAATCAAAATCTGAGAAAAAAACACATGTCCATTCATAAGAGCATGGATAAACTGAGATATAGTAGGTAAAACACTATACAGCAATAAAACTAAAGCAAATCTAAAAACAGGAATGAATCTCACAAAATAATGTTAAAAGAAGGCAGATATAAAAAATAAAGGATGTTCTATCATTCCATTTATATAAAGTCCAGAAGAAGGAAAAACTAAGCTATGGTCTATGAGGTCAGCAAGATGGTAATGATATGGAAAATGAAAGTGGCCAGTAGGCTGCCCCGAGACTCCCTCACTAACTGCCTAGGCAGTGGCACCATGGCGTATCCCTCTGTGATGATCCACTGAGCTGTGCACTTAGGATTGGTGTGCTTTTCAATGAAGATGATTTTGGTTTTGGTGTTATCAATACTGTAGTTTGGGCCTGTTACTCGTCTGATATTAAAGCTAAAAGAGTGAAAAAGACAAGGGGGAAAAAAACAAAAAAACTACTGATTTTTAGAATTTCCCACAACTGAAAAAAGTATTTACAATGATTGTTAATGTTCTGCAAATTGAGGACATTTCTACATGTTCAAATCAATACTTCTGGAGCTGAAGAGATGGCTCAGTGGTTAAAATGGCTCTGGGTCTTGCAGAGGACTGGGATTTGGTTCCCAGCACTCACATAGTGGCTCTCACATCTGTAACTCCAGTTCCAGGGGGATCTGATGCCCTCCTCTGGCCTGAAGGCACCAGGTCCACATGTGGGGTACATACACACATACACATAAAATAAGAATAAATCAAAGTTTTTAAAAATTTAATGCTACAAATGACATAGCTACCAAAAGAGAAATTTTTCAACCCAAAATTCATGTATACTTGCCCTCTGACTTCAGTGCCTTTCCAGTAGCATGAAGTATTTGAGGGCTATGGAGAAGCAACTTGAAGAATAAGACACGTAACTAAGCAGGAATTCCTGAAGACAAATTAACAATCTCATATTAAACAATGTAAGTAACCTGCAAAATACATTGTGTTCCATATCTAAAATGGACTGTGCTCCACACCCCAGTCACAGCTAACTCTTCAGCTTCTTAATCACTATATCTAGTTGTCACTTTGGGGACATGGTTGTTTCCTACTTCAGGGAGGAGGTCAGGATTCTCTAGACACTGATTTGAACTAATGCAACAATTAAGAGCTGCAATGGGATTACTTAAGTGGATTCCTGTGGGCAGCCAGTGTTAGAGATAGCCTGATGTCTCTACACTCTTGGCTCTCTGAATTCATGGCACAGTCTACTTTACTATGCTCTTTGTGTCGCTGACTTCCTTTGAAGTGTCTCCTACTGGGTTGTCCCTGAAAACTCTTTCAAATTGTCATTGGTTTGTATAATTGAAATGCAATTCTGTGTTTGGACACAACATTGCACTAATTCAGAACAAAGTTCAAATTCTTAATCATACTAATCCAGTATGAATGAATGGGCACATATGAACAAAAGATACTCAGAAATAACTCCAGGATTTGTCTAATTTAACAGTTCATGAGCACTATTCAGCTATGTGCTAACTTTTAGAAGTTCTTACATGTAAAAGAGAAAGAGTGTTTAAGCTTTCAGTGGCACACAGGCTGGCTGAGGGCACATATTCCTCTACTTGACTACAAGGATGCCAACCATCAAACAACTACAAACAATCCACATATTCATCAACAGGGTAGTAGATAAACTATGCCACAGCAAATAGAATACTAGACAGTAGTAAAAATGAATGAGTCAAGCTAGACACAAAAACAGGAACCTCAGCGATTTCTAAGCCAACAGCAATCCCATTAGCAGGGCCTCACCACTTCCCAGACTGCCAACATTCTACTAGCATTCCTACGACCAATACAATTTCATCTTTAATTTGAAATTATATAAAGAGGCAATTCTCCAAAGCTCAGTGTGTCTAGATCTGTGTATCTAAAAGGGCAAGCCATAACCAGGCTCCAGGGGATATACCCACACCCAAGAATATTTGGGGAATACAAATTAGACTCAATAGGCCTTAAAAAATAGAGGGCATGAAGTGAGGTATGTAGGGAGGTAGGGGTAGGTCTGAGAGGACATGAGGGAAGGGGCCTGAATATAATCAAACTATATTGCATGAAATTCTCAATGATCAATAAAAATATTTTTAAAGTTATGTACATTTTCTATATCAGGGATAAAAATTAAAACAAAAATCCACAAGACCCAGGAAATTCTCTCATGTTCTAAGAGTAGCTACCAACATTGCCTTGTGTCCATTTATGACATACACCGATAACCAGAAAAGTAAAACTACTACTGAGAAAAATCAAAGAAATACCTGGGAAATTCAATGAGCTTAAAAATAAAGATACATGAAACTTACAGCCACTTGTGAAAGAGATGTACTCTTGCTCTGGAGTGTGTTACTGAATATGTTAAAGCTGTAATGAAATGCTCCTTCTAATCATGTAGTTACTAAAGTTTTTTTAAAAATAAAGATACATCACACCTATCCTGCTACTAAGCTGCTTTAGTCAGTGGCTTTTGGGCTCCCAGAGAAAAAGGCAGCAAGATTAGGGAGGGTTCCCTTACTATGTAGCAGCACCAGGTCTTGTTCCCAACAACATAGTTTAGACTGTGGGATGGAAGCAAAGAAATGCATACACTATATCAAAAACTTAATTCAAAAAGAAATAATTACATCATCAGAAAAACTTTGCAACTACAAGTTTTGGTTATTTTTCTTAATAAAACTAATTGTAATTGAAGCCAATATATTAGAAACAGATTAGAACAAGCACACAGGATGCATAAGTGTCACTCTAAAATCAATCAGCCACTTTTTAGTAACATATCAATATATCACTGGAGAAGATAGTGCTTTGCAAACAGCACACTCATCTCACCTGATTTCATTTTCATACTGTGGGGACAGTCTACCTGAATTCTGGTAAAAGCTTTTCAGGAAAGAGGGGGCAGTGAAGGAAGGGGCAGAGAAGGAAGTGTGAAGGCTTGGAAGGCTGGAGGAAGAATTACTCTCCTTGGACATGCGTCGGGCTGACGGGAGAATGCTGAGTACAGAAAACACAGCAAATTTGTCTTAAAATTTATATTGCAGCAAAGTCTTCACTCAGAAACAGCACATAAATAGGCTCTTGCTGTTAATTTACCCTTTTCTTTAAAGACTCAGATCTTACAGAATGTATAAAGGAGCATGCATCTTCTATGCAGGGGCTATGCTAAGCTTTCTCTCTTTCACAACTTCTTTCCCCATCTGTGCTAGATCTCTGTCCATATCTATATTCATCTCTAAAATATTCTTAACAATTTAGGGACAAAAAGTGTTTGCATTTACATGTAAAAAATAAAAATAAAAAATAAAAAAAGACCAAGAGAAAAAGTTAGGAAAGCACAAATTACAAGAAAACAATTTCCAGAAGGAAAAGCTGATTGTGAATAATTCAAAGGCTTTAATGACTTTAAAGATATAAACCCTTCTAAATATTTATGGACAACATGCTTGGTTGACGGCAGTCATTAGACATAAAACCTCTGCCTGAATAAACACTGATGCTCGTGTTCTTTCTTAGGTGGTCCTGTACAACTATGTTTAATACAAAGCCCTAAATCTTGTGCACAGCTCTGTTTTTGAAGAAGTTTCTTTGTGCACAAAGTGTTAAAATGACATAACACCATTTTATACTAATATTTGTAGAAATTATTTTAATTCATATGTTACAAAACATGAGAGTGGAAGAATTGAGAGAGGCATCATTTGTAAGCCTAAAAATAATGAGTGCTTTTCATTTATAAAAATAATGTGCCCTGAGGGGAGAAGGGGGAAAGATTTATTGTCTTGCATAAAAATAAATAAATTATTTTTAAAATCTTGGTAGCCATATAAACACTTAATCTTCTTCACACATGCACACAAAATCTGAAGATAATTACTTTCTTTGATTTTCTTTATTTTTGTAACCTGTGTATTTTGGAACCTACTTGGTTTTTAAATTTTAAATCATTCAGAAAATAAGAAAATAAAACTATGGCCTTAAAAATATAGGTGTAAATTTGACAATACCTCATATCAAAATTAGTCTTTTTACAAGATATTTTACATGAAGTTGATATTATTTATTTCTGACTAGAAATGGATAGTTAACCCTATTGTCTATATCAAACTCATAGGTAAAGAAGAGAAACAAAATCTATTATAAAGACATGAATTGTGGTCTGTGCTACACAGTAATAAGTGCAAGCATTCTACACTTTCAGGTTTATTTTACCTTTATTCTTTCTTACCTGATATCAAAAAATTTTGCCAAAATATTTTTTAAATATCAGGGAAGGTTATTTCTACTGAACAATGCCTATAAATTATACAGCCTTCTTTATAAATACCCCTCTATTTATAAAAAATTGGTAGCAATTTTCATATTTAGCTTTAACTTGCTATGTAATAAAATACAGACAAATTATTAGCTCATGCCTAAACAACTTGGATGATTCTTTCAACCCTGGTGTTTACTGCTGCTAACAGCAAGTCCCACGCTTCCCCATTCTTCAAATGAGCTGACTGTGTTACTTTAGAGCTATCATGAAAACACTAAGTAATGTGTCCTCTGTGCGTTTTTAAGACAAAACAATTGCATGTCGTATTCTCTATTTTTCTGAGGTAAAAAAAAAAGTTTCCATTCAAAATGTCTTGCCTCTTCTCTTGAGGTGTATCTAAACCATTGCCCAGCTTCCCTTAACTTTTCTGCTCGTTCTAAACCTAAAATCTGGCTAAAGCATGAAGCATAATGCCCAGTGACTCCAGAGTGACCCAAACGAGATGACAGGAGACTGAAGTCCTAAGGTGTGGGGATAGGCTTGGACCTACCTGCACTGCTCACTGGAGCTCTGCCTCAGCAGGGGGGAGCGCAGGCCGTGAGCCCGCCCGTCCTGCAAATTCAGCTTCCTCCTTGAACTCGAAGGTGGGTGGCTGAAAGTATGAGCCCTTCTGCGAAACTGTGGAGAATCGGAATCCTCTTCAGGGAAAGCGTGCCACGCAGAGGATAGTGGGGAGGCTGGCGGTGTCCCCGGGGGAGAGTCCCCTGGTGAGAAGTCCTACAAACCAAGCACAGTGAGATGTCTGCCCCGACAAGGCTCAGGACAGACGGACAGAGACTGATACCCAGGGCTCAGCAGTGACAGGAGACCTGTCCTCCTCCTGACTTATGACAAAACTGTTGTTTTTCCTTTGACTCAATCCCTGTGTGAGGCTAATCAGTTTCCCACAACCCACTACTGCTGATAAGCAGCTGTCAGAGAGCATCCGAAAAGATAGGCCAGAAAGTGAAAGGCTGATAAGAAAAGGTATTCTTTCCCCTGAAACTGAGGTAAAAGGCTCTTCTTGTGATTGTCTGAGAGAGGAAAAAGGGCGGAGCCTGGGTTCACCAATCGCCTACTTCTGTGATGTTTGGGTAGCTTACTAAGCCTCAGTGCCTGACACCTACCAAAAAGCCTTGGAGATAATAAAATAAAGCCTGTGAGTGATCTTCCTCCACTCTGGGTGTTTCTATTCAACTACATTCTCTTAGGTAAATTTCTTTTAAAAGACATGAAAAACAGGAAATGAATGAAAAGAGAGTTGTTCTGGAATGCATCTCCCACCCAGTGAAGAGACATCATAAATCTTTCAATCCTGTCAGGTATGTTCAGGCTCTCCCAGACACCAGAATAAAATTTCTTGCCCATGGATAATAAACTCGTAGCTAGACTAAACCCCAGTTCCACCACCAAAAGTTTGATAAAAACATTTTAGTATTTTCCTATTGAAACAACAAAGGTTGTTCGTGCCCCAAGTTACATATTACAGAAAACAGGAAACAGGAAACCAAACCTACTGAGGGTTGTCTGTGAGATAAAGAGGCTGATGTTGCAGTTGAAATAACCAAAAAAAAAAAAAAAAAAAAAAAAAAAAAAAAAAAAAAAAGGAAAAGAAGAAACACAGAGAAAGAGCAATTAAAAAAAATAAATGCAAGATACAAGTACAGTAACTGTACGACTCAGTTAGTATGGTTTTAGTCTTTAGATCAACAGTTGTTCAAATACTATATTCCCTGAATCTACAAACAAGGAAAAACTTGAGGACAGAGTTGGCTGATGAAGTACTCATCCTGTCCAAACAGGAGAAACCTCAGCGGAACGAAAAACAATCTGCTGATACCCAGAATTATCTTATTTAAAACAACAAAACATCAGATTATTTTTTTGATTTAGCCATTAAAAAAGCTCATCACAGGCATGCATATTACCATGGTTTTTGTTAAGTCACAATCTGCAGTTAATGGAGGTGCCCAGACCAGATACCTTCTCTGAAGCAAGACTGTTGGACCGTTCAAAGCTGTCCACACTTCCAAGCCGACCTCTCATTCTGTTAGCTCCCTGAATGAAGAGAATAAACATAATCATTACATATGGTTTGCATTTTTACTGGAAAACATATATACTCCAAAGCCAGCCTGAATAATTTAGTGAGAACTTATGTCAAAACTAAAACTATAAATATAAAGATATATATATGCACTTAAGTATGTGTGTGTACATAGATATAGTCTGGGGAAGAACTCAGTAAGAACCTGTGCAGGGACCTGGGTTCTATCCCTTATACTAGAAAAAGAAAACCCTCAAAAATTTATTAATTTTGCTTGTATTCATTATCCCATAATACTTCAATAAAAAAAACTATTTCAATAAATTATTTCATTCAGAAGATTAGGTTATCAGTCAACTATTAGAGAATTGGTTCTTGATCTTCTTTTTATAGGGTACTTTAGTGCAAATCTCAAAAAGGCCTAAGAAAGGACCTAGGAGATCATTGTCCATTCCTCTCATTTTACATAGGAAGAAACTGAGGTCAGAGTGAAGAAAAGAGGATGCAAAGACAGGTCAGCACATTATATGTAAGGTCTTCAGAGATGGGGGATTCTGCACAGCTTTAAGAACATGGAATGGTTCCAAAAGGAATGACTAGAAGTACAAGTCAGGCCTATGGGACAGTGACTCAACACAAATAAAAAGCCAGACAACATTTGCACTGTACCTTACTATTTCAAAACTTGCCCCATATACACTTGGGTTTAATTTTGGAGGTATAAGGGATTAAATTTCACTTTAAATTTTAATCAAAGTAATACTTGTACAAAGTTCAAAGGTTAAATTTTGTTAACAAAATCTTAAAATGAAAAGCTGTGGTTGCCAAACCCCTCTCTCATACTTTGAACCCCACTCCTCAAAAAGCAAATCTCGAATTGATTTATACTGAGGCTGCCAGTATTTGGCTCATACTATTGTTCCTTACTTTTTTAAGTTCAGGCATGATTTATTGGCTTCCTATTCTTGAAGATGATAGGAGTATTCTGACTTTACTACACAAGCATACACACATACATACACACACACACACACACACACACACACACACACTCCCTCCTCCATCAATGTAGTTACATCACAAGTTTCAATTAAATCAATATTTTCTGCTTTGATTATCATGACTTTGTAAATACCATTTGCAGCTGAGCTACATATGTACTATGATTACATGTGATTATATTTCATATCTTGTTCATTTTGTTTCTCGTGGAGTTAATGACTTTTTCAGCAATCACAAAATTCTCCAACAGATCACAGTGTGGACAAACATCACATGATCCACTAATTTGTCTTTATCTTTGCACTCATCATAGAGACCTTTGTCTTCCTGCCCTAATCTGGACTTGACCTACAGGTCTTCCTGGTACCCTTTTCACCATCAACTTCGAAATTTCCTTGGACCCTCTCCTGTTAGAATCATGCCTTCCTCTTTTTCAGTTCAGTTCCTCATCTGGGTGGAATATACTTACCAGGTACTTTCTGAGAAAGGGGAGACTGAGAAGTAATTTATTACAATTACGTATCTGAAATTTCATGATTCTGTGCTTACATTTTGTTACTAGTTTACTAGTTTGCCTGGATGTCTGGAAACTTTCCTTCATCCTTTATCAAGCCTTAAAATTGTTAAGTGTCCCTGACTTCAGCAGTCTTTTAAAGGCTTTGTGACTCTAAAGCTTCTGTGAATGTGTTACTGTTTCTCCTTAAAGTAGAACCCAAGTTTACTGTTGAGCAGTCTGAAATGTCACAACAATGTGCCTTGGCATGACTTTTATTCAGCTGTCCCACTGTGTGCACTGAGTCATTAGGTCAGGAAAGCCTTGCTCATTAACTCTGAGATTTTTTTTTTTCAGAAAACAAAATTATTTTACTGGCAGACAACTATTCAAGTATATTAAACAGAAAACAAAGTCTATTCATATACATATGTGTCTGAGATTTTTAAAAATTATTTCTTTGAAAATATCCTGTATGAATTTTCTCTTTCTGGAGCCTCATCATTTGGGATTTGGATTTCCAAACTGATCCTTTAGCATTTTACATTGCTCAGTTTTCCACAGCTTTGTCGGTTTTTTTGTTTTGTTTTGCTTGTTTTTTCTGTTTTTCTGGAAGATATTTTTAACTCTATTTTCCTAGTCTTCTTTTGATTTTTTTCTTCTATGGTTATTGGGAAAAAAAATTTTTTTTTGGTCTTTTTGTGACAGGGTCTCTTTGTAGCCCCAGCTGTCCTGGAACTCACTATGTAGACCAGGGTGGCCTCGAACTCACAGAGATCCGCCTGCCTCTGCCTCTCGAGTGCTGGGATTAAAGGCATGTGCCACCACACCAGGCTGGTTATTGGAAATTTTAAGAATTTTTTTTCTTGTTCTTAGTTGACTATTTTATATTGACAGTAGCCTATCTTGTTTTACAAAATAAATATTTATTTGCATATTTAACTATAGTTTTATATTCACTTAGGCTCCCTATAGAATAACAACATCAATAATAAAAGTCACAGCCACTTACCATGGACCATATGCTATGTTAAGCATTTCATATTTCTCAGCATATCCTATAGTTATTTAGCTCAGCTTCAGAAAGGGACTATAATTCTTGTAGATTATTCTGGTCAAGTTAACTACTGTGGTAGATAGCTTCAGTTGTCAACTTGGCACACATGGGAAGGGGGAGCCTCAACTGAGACACTTCCTCATTGGATTGGCCTGTGGCCATGTCTATGGGGCATTTTTCTTGATTGTTGAGTGATGTGAGAGGACCTAGCCCACACTGGACAGTGCCACCTCTGGGCAGGTGGTCCCTGTTATATAAGAAAGGAGACTGAGTACAGGCCAGGCGAGCAAGTGAGTAAGCAGTGTTCCTCCATGGTCTGTGCTTCAGCTGCTGCTTCTAGGTTTCTGCCCTGAGTTACTGCCCTGACTTCCCTCAGTGACGGACTGTGACCTGGGAGATGTAAGATAGAATAAACCCTTTCCTCTCCAAGTTGGTTTTGGCAAATGTTTTTTATCACAGTCACAGAAAGTAACTAGGACAACTACACAGTGAGTAAGGGACAGGCAGCAATGTGAACACAGCAAGCACAACTTTAAAGTGCAGCCCTTGAGGGTAAGACCAGTCCTGAACCTAGATTAGTGCAGCTCTCAGACTTCATCAGAGAAGTTTTTTGCAGTGGATAGTGGTGAACACAGAAATTCACAGCTGGCCAAAGTATAGAGAATAAGTGACTGTGGAGTTCTCAGCCACAGATGAGACGTCTGTGTCACACCCTCCCCAAAGGCTCAGGGACCACTGTGGAAAAGAGGGTGGGAAGAGCATGAGGTCTGGAGGATTGGAGCCAAGCAGTTTCTTCTGGACATGACAAGTCCACCGCACTGATGAACTCAGTGGAAGTCTGCCTCAGACTTGCCCAAGATAAAGCTATGTAACTTCCTAGCATGGAGTGGAAAGGGGTTCATGAACCCCCACCTATAACTGAGGTGCTATGGACAGTGGATGACCTCTGGAGGGAGAGTTAATTTTATTTAAGGGTGTGGCTCCTGGTAGGTAGATCATACAGGAGTGGATGGCCCCACACCCAGGAGTATATATATGGACAATACAAATTGGAGCTGATGGGCTATTAAAATTTTTTTTTAATTTTTAAAAATGATTTATTTAATAACAACATACTTAGAAGAAGCATTTCATTACAACAGCATTAACCTATTCAATAACATTTTTCTGAGCTAGGGTACATCTCTTTCAAAATTGGCTGTACATTTTTAGGTTTACAGAGGAATTATTACGCTTGTACAATCTTTTACTGATTATAAACTCTACAAGACATAAAATTAAATGAGGTTTTAATGTTTAGAAAAGATCTCCACTTCGTTGTTAAAATACAGTTTCATACAGAAAAATTCATTTTAAGGCAACTGACATTGAGACGTTTTCACATGCATTTCTAATCTCTATATATATGACTATTACTGGTCACAGTCACTTACTTTCTGAGTTCCGTGGCATCTGAGTATGAATATAAACTCGTCAGATAAACAGCCTTCTTCTCCCTCTAGAGCCTCCATACTCTGTCATCCCTGCCAATGTCCACTGTGTTGTCAGGACCCCCATCTATTGCCCCCATCTGTCCTTCTGATAAATCTAGTCAGCCAGAGGTCCCTGTTCCAGGAGGATCAGCTGTTCCTCATCTACAGCAATCCATTGTCAGTATTCCTTTGGATAGAATTGGGG